AGGGAAACAACTCACTCTACAACTGCTTGAAGGAGGCTGGAGCAATGTGGTACTGAGGGACATGGTTTAAGCTCTTGACTCTCTGGAGTTATGTTAGTGGTTGGACTCAAAGAGTCTTTTCCAACCAGAACAAGTGTGTGATGGAGGCAGTTGCAAGCTGTGCAGTTGAGGTGGTGGAAAGACCTTCTGCATATTTTCCCACACCAGAAGAAGGCAGAAGCCCTCAAAGGCTCCTACAGAGGAGCTTTCTCAGCTTGTACCTGCTTTTCCTTGGTCCTGTGAGTCATGCAGAGCTCAGCCTGGGGACCTCTGTCCTCAGCCTATGGTGAACAGCTGAGGCTTAGAGGGCTGGAGAAGGGTGCAGCTGAGCTTCCACATCAGTTTGGGGTGCAGTCTGGCTTGGACACTGGGCTGTGGCTCCTGCTTGCCATCCCTGTAAGAAGCCCTCTGCTCAGGGAGATCTGAGCTGCTGCTGGGTGATGATCAGCCCCCAGAGAACATTTCCTCTATGTATGATAGTTCTTGGTTTGGTATTGTCCCCTCTGATGCTGGGGACTGCTGCATGCAGGACGTGTAGCCTGAAAGAACTGAAGGTGACACCACCACTGAAACAGCAAGCAGCCAGGCGTGCAGCCACCCCAGCCCAGAAGCATTCACAGCCTTCAGGATTCCACCTTTCATTCAGCTCCTGCCGTGGACGTCCCTTCTAACTCAATGTATTCTCAGATCCTATGTTAAGAGCACAAGGAGTTCCAGGGGTCAGCTCTGCATGAAGGTCCTTCCACCCATTGCCATTCATTGATTCTGGAAGACACTCTGATCTCCATTTCCAGATTCCAGAATAGAATCTGGTCTGGATTTCTGGTTCCAGACCTGCCCCCTCACAATGCCCCCTGCCAGTGCCACCTCACAATGCCACCTCACAATGCCTGGAGGTGGATTTAAGTGCAGGACTGGCCAGGACAGGACACAGTGTGACTGCCAGATGCCCCTTCGCAGCCACCTTGATTTCTGGTGACGTGTACCCGTGGTGCTTTCCTGAGGTGCCTCCAACCCTTTGGTGGAAGCCCTCGAGGACGGGACAGGACAGAGTGCGGCTGCGAGGTGCCCCTACGCAGCCACCTTGTTCCCTGGTGCCCTGCACCCGTGGTGCTTTCCTGAGGTGTCTCCAAGCCTGCAGCAGAAGCCCTTGAGGCCGTGAGCAGCATGGAGGAGAGACGCCCCAGCACCGACCTCGATGTGCTCCTGGGAAGCGTAAGTTGGCTGTGGCTGAGGCTCCAGCCTTGCAGGGATCGTGTGGCCCTTCCAGCTGCTTCTGCTGGGCAGCCAGCAGCCCTCGAGGCCAGCAGGGTGTGGTGGGGAGGGGGGGAGC